CCGCTGCCGCCGCCGCCGCCGCGTAGTAGGGAGCGTAGCCCCCAGCGCTGCCACCGCCCCCACCGGGGCCGCCCCCGCCGCCGCCACCCCCCGCGCCGCCGCCGCCGCCGCCTCCACGGTACGGCCACTTGGCGCGCTCCAGGCTGTAGTCGCGAAAGGCCACTTCGCGCACTGGCTGGACGTGCGGCGCCAGGTTGGAAGAGTAAGGGAAAGTCATCTGGCAGGAGGACGGTTGCGAAAGGAATGACGGCTTGCTAGCGAAGTCCGACGGGGCCACATAGTAGGCGCAGCCGGGCAGGTACATGCTGGCTGCGCTCGGGCCGCACTCGTCAAAGTCGTTCATGGCTCCGCGGCGTGCACGCCGGCAAGCCCCGGGCCGCTCCCCGCGCCGCCAACCTGAGCCATCGATTGCACAAGAGGCTTGGGCCAGGATCAACTAAGCAAAAATCCCCACCGGGCGCTGACGTGCAATTCATCTTGATTGATTCTGGTGGTAATTATGTCACGTGACGCCATGGAGAGAAATGTCCTTATATCTATATCAGCGCTCGCCAACACGCCCCGGGACGGCTCCTGGCGCCGAGACGCGCGCACGCTGGGGGCGGATCGGCCTCCTTCTCCCGCCAGCTCTCCCTGGGCGCCCCCTGACCAGGCTGCGCCACAGGCCGGTCACCTGCGCGCCGCCGGCGGCTGCCACCGCTGGGCGCATCTGCCTCCGCCCGACTGGGCCACCCGCCCGCGTTCGCCCTCCCGCGCCGCTTTAAGTACGCGGACCTAGGCCGGCGGGGAGGAGGAGGGAGGGGGAAGAAGGGGGAGGAAGGGGGAAGGGAGCGAAGCGGCGAGTGGAGGGGGGAGCCCCGGCCCTGGCACAGGGGACTAGGTGTGAGGGTGTGAGGTTCCCACCCCCCACCCCTTTCCTGCAGCCGCTCCCTCCCCCGCGACGCCGCCACCCTCTGCAGCTCACCCGCCGGGAGCTTGTTGCTTCTTGTTCAAGGGGCGTAATTGCGCCACTCTCCAGGGTGCAGGGAGCCCTTATTTACATATTTCTCTGCCCAGCGCCTTCGCCTTGGAGTAACTTGGCTCTCTGTGGTTCTGACCTCGGGGGCGCAAGTGCTGGCCGCAGAAAAATCCACGCCCAACGCCTACCACGCGCTCGCCCTAGCCAGGGCATCGATGCCCACTCAGCTCTCTTTCCTCCTTTCTGGTTGCCCTTTCTCTGTTCCTGTCTCTGTCTTTTTCCTTCCTTCATGATTCTCCAGTCTTCTTCCTTGTCTCCACTGTCCTCTTTCACGTTCTCTCCTTTCCTTTCCCGGCTTCCTTCCTCTTACTTTCTTCCTTTTCTTTTCCCCATCTGTCTGTCCCTCCGTCTTCTTTTCTCTTTTTCCCTAGGCTATGTGTCACTGTCTCAGTCTCTCTCCCAGTGGCTTCTCTGTCTTCACTCTCTCCGTATTAAAGGAAGGAGGGAGATCAGCGGTGGGAGACACCCCTAAGTCCGGGCCTCCCTCAAAGCTCTAGGGTCTAGTGAACAAAAGGATCTTAAGTCCTCACAGTGCCTGGCCTCCTACTTACCCACCACGGGCGACAAAACCCTGGCGCCCCCTCCCTCCTCACCCCTCTCTGCTTTCAGGCCTGGTCCGAGACCAGTCTGCCTTAACACCCTGATCCTTCACTGCAGTAACAACCCCGCCAAGGCCGCGCAGTCTCCCTGACTATTCTGGTGCCCTTGGGTCGGCTTGGTCATTGCAACCCCTGCCCCTCTCGAGATCCGTTGACTCTCCAAGGGCTCTTAGTAGCGCCCTGAGTCCTCACTGGAGCCCCTCTGCATCACCTGGCTCTAAGGCGGACTCTTCAGGCTCCCCCATCCACTCGCCCGCCCCAAGGCCTCACTCTTCTCGACTGCGGCAACCCTCTCCTAGCCCAGGAGTCCAGGCGAGGCCTGAGCTCCCACCTCCATGAGAACAGGCTCTTTTCAAAGGTAAACCAGCCTCTCCTCAAATCCAAATCACAAAACCAAGGGCAGCAGCCTGCCTACTTCCCCAGGATTCCTCTGCCCAGACAACCCAGCACTGAGGCCTGGGCCTCAGCCCTATGCTCAGGCGGGCGGAGATGGCTGTGATGCTGGTTCCCTCCCCGGCCAGGACTGCCGCAGTGCCGTTGCTGTGCTCTCTGCCCACCGGGCGGACAGACAGAAAAGGCGGGTGGTCTGAGTTAACATCTATTTTCTGGCTGATGTTACCCCCCTTGTTCTATTTCTCCTCCCTCCTTTCTCCCTTCCTCTTTCTTTCCTCCGCCCCCTCCCACGTCTGCTTCCCTCCCCCAACACTGCGCAAACAAGTCGGTGGGGACTGGAGGGCACCAAGCCTTCCCTTAACCAGAACTGTCCACCCTGTGTGCCCCCTCCCTGCAGCTGGGACCCCCGCCCAGATTCTTGCTTTAATCCTTCTCCTCAGCCCAGACCCCCGGCATACTTATCTGCCTTCCTATCTCCATCCCAGCCCCAAGCCTCTGCCTTTCTGGCTCCTGGTCGACGCCCCTGGATCTGTCTCCTAAAATGGCTCCCCGGACACTGCACACTGTCCCTGCGATCGATCGCTCAGGACCCAGGGCAGCGGCGGGGCCCCTACAGGGTTTTCGTATGTCAGGGGGTGCAAAAGAAATTCTCGCACCTTCTCTCTGCTCTCGGTACGGAGTGGGAGAGTAAGCAGCCTTTCGCCCCCAAAGTGAAGCCTGCTGACCGCCGAAAAGGGAAATGGAAAGGACGAACCATTCAAGTTCAACGACATGGCGACGGCAGCTCCGGCGGGAGCCGCGCTTTGGCAGGGGAGGGTGCGCCATCTGCAGCGGCGCACGATGCATAAGAGAAGGGGGCATTGGGTCCCCCTCGGCGCATTAGCGTGCACACTTGCCCCCCACACACGGCTCAGGGTATTCGTTCTGGGCCCAGCCCGCTTCGCTCTCTGGCCCCAGCTCTTTGCTTGGTCCTTACCCCGAAAAAGCAGGGAAAATCACAGCCTCCAGACCCGCGCGTTCCGCTCGAGAACCTACCGTGAAGACCCCGGCGTTGTGGCCTTCTCCTTGCTCATTCGGCCCCACCCGAAACGCAGGGAGCACACCAGGCCTTCGGGGCTCGGGGAGCAGCTCCGCAAACGATAGCTTTCCGAGCAGCGCGGAGACGCGATGCGGTAATTTTGAGCCACCCAAGATAAGACACTAACTTGACCTTAACTTTGTCAGGGCGCCCCTGGTATCTGGAGAACGTGAACAGACACTGTCTGGCAGCTCTCGTAAAAGCTGACTGGGGAAGGGATTCTGAGTCATTTCATTTATTGCCACTACAGTTCTGCAAGAAAGCTTTTCCTCCCTGCCAAACTTTAATTATTTATGCTCTTTTAGGAAACGAAAGAAGAGAAAAGCAGGGGGAAAACACCCAGAGCCAATCTCTTCCCTGCAGAGCCTTCGGAAAGGACTTCTTCAGACAAGTGACTGGAGAACAAAAAATGTGGGGCGATCACCTTTGTCCAAGGACAGTCGGACAGGCGCCGTGCCTCCCCCCACCACCAATGAGGAGGGTGGGTGTAGCTGGGCGAGGCGAGTGATGGGCACATATACACCTCCCTTTCCCTATCACCAGACATTAATGTTTACTAAGATTCTGGATTTCTCCTCCATCCACAGGCATCCCTGGAAGCCTCCCCAGTACATTTTCCTGGGGGAGAACCCCCAGGCCTTAAAAGCTTCCCCGCTTTTAAGCCCTCTGAGCTAGCAACCGATTGAATGCCAGAGTAAACCGTTCTTTCTCCTTTAAAACCTTTTCCTTAGTCAAAAGGCCGTGTGGACTGCAGCATGCTAGAGGAGGCATTTATCTTTCTTCGAGGGAATGTTGAGCACTCAGATTTCAGCATCATTTCTCTCTATTGTTTGTTTCTTATGAATTTCTTCCTGGTTCCAAATCTCTGTTGGGACTTGGCCTAGGGAAGGAGATACCACGGTCTTTGTATTTTCGTGGATCAGTAAAGGAATACATTTGGATAGCCTCGCTGACCCAACAGATAAGATTTTGTACTTAGGATAATTTAATTCTCTTCAGAAAGTAGTCTTCATCCCAAACTAAATGGAAAGGATACGATGATTAAATGGTGTATTTTAAAAAGAAACAGGCCTTGTGTGTTGTCTTAGGGCCTGGATCTGAGTAAGTCTGGTTTCTTCTTCCTTTCCCCAGCCCTCAGGACCTGGAGGTCTCAGTGCGGCTTCCGCCTTTGTTCAGTTGTTTTCGAGGAGAAAAATCTCCGAATACAGACTGAGACTCTGAGACCCTGCTCTGAGCAGAACCATATCCCTGCCCAGCCAGGTGGGCAAATATTTTTAGCTATAGGGTCTCTGCAAGAAGCCTCTTGCTTCTTTCCTTCTTAGTGTGTGTGTGTGTGTGTGTGTGTGTGTGTGTGTATGATTAAAATATATTTTAAAATACAAATCAAATTCACTTCAGGTAAGGGGGTTTAGAATGTTGAATGCTGTGCTAGTATTAGAAATTTATGGGTTTTGCTAATTTTCCCCCTAGCCAAAGCTACTTTCCATCTCCACCAGTTAGGAGCCAAGATTTGCAAGAGAGTTAGTGTCAAACCAGTCCTGGTTTTACCAGGCTGACTAGAGGCTCCAAAGGCCTAGAGGCACTTGAGGCCACATTTCCCAAGAAGGCTTCTTGGGCTTCTGGTGGATGTGCCTTTGGGATCTTCACTGGGCAATCATGCCTGTTTCAGAAAAGCCTGACCATAACTTGGCACAGAGATGTTTTGTTTTGAAATCTGAGGAGCCTTAAATCTCAGCGCAACCCTCCCCATAATAGGAAGCTTTAAAGTTTGAGAATTCAGGCAAAATGCAGAAGCCCCAACCCACAACAAGCTGAGAGTCCCTTTAGTGTTTGACATACACTCAAATCTGCCTATGGTCTTTCCACCTTTGGATATTTCACACATACATTTTATACACCATTTCCTAGCTGCCTCGGAAGCCATTTTCTCATTTAGTGAACAATCAACACCTGAGGTGAAACCACAACCAGGACAAAACAAAAGCCGAATTTGGTGGCCTTAAAAACATTACAAAAGAATTTGAAGTGTTTTAAAAAATCAACATCACCCCCTTAACAGCTTGGTTGGGACCTGAATGTTTATTTCCACTCAAAACATTTCTATGCATCTAATATATACAAGGAGTTAGGGGTGTTTTTTTTTTTTGACAAAATCAAAACAAAATATGCACAGTAACTGTTAGCACAGAAAATGAAATTAGTCTAACACCACCAACTGAAGTCAGTTGGGTCGAGGCTCAAGGTTCCCTGTGAGATGCCCCCCTAGATCCAGACCCTGGTCCTCCACTGAAAGGATATCATTGGACTTGGGAAGGAATC